GAGTCTATCCTTGACAAAAAGACACTTAGAGGTCAGGACTACTTCCTCGTTAAGTGGAAAGGCTATCCTACAAGTGACAAGACTTGGGAGCCTAAGAGAAATCTAAAAAATGCATCCAAGCTGATTCTAGAATTTCTTTCTAAGAAAACCACCTGGCTAAAGGGCAAGCAGACAGCCAACAAACATCCTTAAGAGGGGGATTATGTGATACTAACATTCATTGCACCCAGTTTGCTATCAAACTCAAGAGCAAACTTAGAAATCTCCTCCTCAAACCTACAAGTCACCATACATATCTTGGCTTATCACACCAACAACAAGAGCAATACTACTCAACGATTGCTGCAAACTCTTCTACTACATCTGTTTATGCTACATACATTACGGCATATCATTTGGACACTCATTGAACAAGTTATTAAGAAAATCTCCTCATTAAGGGGGTGGGCTAATACTACCACATGGCATATCTCTACCAACTAGAGGCCTAGGAAGATGAATGATAGCTCTAGAAGCTTCTACAACCCTCTATGATTCATTACACGTCATAGCTCCTTAGTTACCCACAAGATTGGTTAAGTTATGACATAATTTGTCTATAGGCAGTGAAGTAAATAGTGTGGCCGTAAATAAGACGATATCATATTCAATATCATATTGCCTGCACGGTATTTTTATACTGTAAACCGTGTAATACAGTACAAGGTTGTTTAAATATCATATAATATAATATTATACAGTGCAAATACAGTGTAATACGAGTAATACGAGGTCTCTCGCCACATATATCAGGTATTACGAAGATCCCAATTTACACTTGTAAAGCATGTCAGTTCCTAAATTTTCATCTAGTTTATTAACAACTCTTATTCTAATAAAATAATGACTTCTCAACGATCAGGTATTATCACTTCCTTCATGGCTACATCATCCCTAGCCCCGGATTCGTCAGTTGTTAGCTACAACGTGTCATACTGACATTTGTTGCACTCAGTTTGCTATCAAACTCAAGAGCAAACTTAGAAATCTCCTCCTCAAACCTACAAGTCACCATACATATCTTGGCTTATCACACCAACAACAGAAGCAATACTACTCAACGATTGCTGCAAACTCTTCTACTACATCTGTTTATGCTACATACATCACGGCATATCATTTGGACACTCATTGAACAAGTTATTAAGAAAATCTCCTCCTTAAGGGGGTGGGTCAATACTACCACATGGCATATCTCTACCAACTAGAGGCCTAGGAACATGAACGATAGCTCTAGAAGCTTCTACAACCCTCTATGATTCATTACACGTCATCGCTCCTTAGTTACCCACAAGATTGGTTAAGTTATGACATAATTTGTCTATAGGTACTCTGACCTTGGACCTCCTTTTCACTTCCTATAGGCTAGGAACACAAGAGATGGTTCTATGGGATTCTCTTACGTTCACTACATGATTAGCAAGCTAGTTGTGGGTCGCACTTGATTTCTAATACATTTACCAAGCCTGGTTAGTCATGGAAAGTCATGGAAAATGAGAGAACTACACTCCTTTGGCATAAATAGGATTGCCCTTTCCTTAAGAAAGGGCAAGCAGGCAATACAGTAAATCGACTAGCACATACTTCTACGTCTTTTCCAAGCTTCCAAGCATTGATCTTGTTATTCTCTATTTTTGAAAAGTCAGTGAGGTGCTAACCTCTGACTTACCCCTGAGTTCTCAGACTCAACATTTGTTGCAACTTGTCTAAACCACTTCACCACATCATACACCTGATTGCTGCGTTGTGGAATAGTCTAAGCTACAACCCTTTGGCTCTGTTTCCTAAGACAGTGTGTTGTCTTAGTAAATTCATCCCTTCCTTGGGTGGCTAGATTCTCATATCTGGTGCACCCACCATTACACAACGGAGATTCTGACGTCGGACAGACATTTATTTCGCCATCGTTAACCACACAATTTAAGAAGAAGAAGCGTACGTCGAAGATATGGGATCATACACCTTTCGGAAGGAATCAGATCGTCTGTAATACTGAAGGTCAGATTATGTGGCGTTGCAAGTACTGTAAAGGGAAGCCTGTTGAATATCGAAAATGGAGGCATGACACACATCTACAAGCACCTTAAATCTCACACTACTCTTGATATTTTAATGCCTAACGAAGAACGGGCTGCTAAAACAAGAAACCACCTTGAGGAAGCCTTCTCACGGATGTCTCAGAATGCAAATCCCCTCAAATGCTGTTGACACGACAACGAACTGACAGATCTTGATGCTGATAAGTTTGAGCAACTATATGTAGAGTGGATTGCAAACTGTGGGGTTGCACTTCATATGGTAACAAGAGAAACCTTCTGAGTGTAAGTTCTCTATTATACTTAATATTTGTAATTTATATACTAATCTTATTCTCTTTAGCTTGCTCAAATTCCTCAATCCTGGAGTCCTCTCGATTTTACCTACATCACATCAAACGATTCGCGAGTGGGTGATGTGAACGTTCGAGACACAAAAGTGACGTATACGACAAGTTCTCCAATCAGCTATCTCAAGAATACACTTCACCGTCGATATATGGTCCTCTCCAAATAAGCTTGGTATCCTTGGTATTGTTGCACACTTCATTGATAGCAATGGCGACCTGGTTTCATATTGTATTGCTTTAAGAGAGGTACATGGCAAGCATTCAGGAGAGAATAAGGCCCATATCGTGATGAATGTCATCGAGGACTACGGAATTGTCACCCAAATTGGATACTTTGTTTCAGACAATGCAGACTCGAATGATACGTTAATGAATACTCTACAAAGATGTATGCATCTACCACTTTATTAAGAGAACAATACTAATAATTAATAGCGTTAAACGAGAGGCATAATATCATATACGATGCAAAACATCACTGCCTTCATTGTAACGGTCATACTATCAATCTAGAAGCGCATGCGTTTATGTTCCCAAAAAATGCACCTAACGAAGTGTAACGCTGACTTCTAAACGATAGAAGACACAGAGGTTCTCTTGCGTAAAGGTTGACTTATCAGAGGAGGCAGGGGATCAGACACAAAGGCTTCAAGTAACACGTTACTAGTATATAACAAATACTGTATTGAGTTGAGCACGAAGCTCCTATCTAAGGAAATACTATCTACTTATATAGTGGCGTCGTGCCTAGTGGACTCTTGGGAACTCACTCGAGTCCTCGGAGTCCTGGACTCTTAGGACTCTTCTCATCATCCTGCGAGTCCGTCACGTGCCTAGTGGACTCCTGGGAACTCACTCGAGTCCTCGGAGTCCTGGACTCTTAGGACTCTTCTCATCATCCTGCGAGTCCGTCACGTGATACTTTCGGAACTACTATTCCCCGCTGCCCCTCCAGGTACCAGGGCCGGTCTCATGCGACCTCCCTCCTTCCTGTCCTGTAGTTGGCCAGCCTTCTTGTTCCGTCGTAACATGAAGCCCCTACGAAAAACAAGGTTAAAAAGGATAGTACGAGCGAATATATCAAACCTTCTGATGCTGACATATTAAATTGGAGGAAGACTGGCCCTCTTGGCAAGCTTCACAACATCGTTGTCTTTATCCGATGTAGTCCACAACGCATACAGAGGTTTAAAGAGATCAGTAAGAAGAAGGGACTTCTTTGCGACAATGATACAAGATGGAACTCAAAGTACTATATGAGTGAGAGAGCTATTGAGCTTGCAGATCAAATTGATTACTATTGCTCAAAGAAGAAGGGCCTTAAGCTTGATTCACGTATGTTACACATCCTATTAAGAGGACAACTCTAACAGTTTATAGTTTCAGAGCAAGACTGGGCTGAGCTGAAAAAACTTTGCAACTTCCTCAAATCATTCGCTGATGCAACTAAGGCTACAGAAGGTCACGCACATACAATCGATTGAATGCTACCAATAATGGACTTCCTTCTTAGTAAATTTGAGGCTGCATGAATCGAATATGCAGATGACGCTTTTATGGCGCCTTGTGTTGATGCTGGATGGGTGAAACTCGACACATATTACACTCTTACAGAGCGTTCATCTGCTTATGTTGCAGCTATTGTCCTTAGTCCTCATCGAAAGTGGCACTATTTTGATACCTCCTGGGAGGAGCATCCTGAGTGGATTGAGAGTAATAAGATTACTGTAGAAGGTCTCTGGAAGTCTCATTACGCACCAGTCGCTAAGTCAGTTGAGTCGTCGGCCCAGTCCTTAGTTGAAAAGCCACCAATGAAGAACTTGTTCCTTGCATGGGAAGACGAACAAGAGGATCTCGTGCTTCCTACTCTATTTGATGAGTATCAGAACTATATATCAGCCCCAAGAATTAAGGTCAAGGATGTACAAAAGTGGTGGCTTGAGGATACACAACAAACACTCTATCCAAACCTTTCGAAAATGGCGCTCGATCTTTTGTCAATTCCTGCGATGTCTGCTGAGCCAGAACGCCTCATCTCGCTTCTGAGCTAGGGTGTCGGCATCGTCATAAGAAACCCACTGATCGGTGTCCCAATTGATCCCTGTGCGACTACTTTTCCGTTGTCACGGGGTTGGTTTGGGTTGGTTTGCCTGATACTGCGGAGGAGGGGGTTGGGGTTGGCTCTTCACAAAGCCGAAAGTTTACAGTGTTGCTGAAAGACAATCCGAGAACTTACATTTGACACCCGCCTTCTTGTCATATACAGGTGTAAGATCCTTCTCCTCGATAATGTCTAGAATCTCCTACAATCATCGGAAAGTCAGTACCATACTCTAAGTAATATCTTGGAATGGAATGGAAAAAAGCTATAAATGGTATCAGGTGATATGACAGGCTCTAGAGTAGCAAAGCGGACGTCAACAAATCCCTTTTCAACCTACCCGTAGATTTAGAATTCCTGAGGCACCCGAACAAGGTCCAGCTTTTGCACCACCAGAGAACTGGCACACGCCATTAGGTTTATTGCAGGAAGAGTCCGAGAGTGTGAAAGAACGGCCATAAACTGAAGTATCCCTCAGTAATCTAGTTATGCTGACTTTCAAAAGAATACGAGTGTCTCTTACAGCCTTGGCCCAGGATGACCTTCTCAGGCTTGACCCCTGCTCGCCAGAGGAGCTCCATCCCCAGGTCGATTTCGGTAATGTTAGTATGCGTCGCCAGATAGGGACCAATGAATTTCGATGCCGCATCCCATACTCCGTGAAGATCGTAGGACATGATATTGAACCAATCGACATATGGTTGGTGGCCGGCTAGGTCGAAGTGCTGAAGGTACCAGTAGGATGCTGGGAGTGTAATGGAGTAGCCATATTTACTCCCGAAGGCTGCTTTGATGTCTTTAAATAAGAGGACATGGTTGGCTGAGTCTTCAGGGTGGCCGCCACGGTCGTCTGCTTTTTGTCAGCAGCCTTGACTAAGAGGCTGTGAGATGAGATAGGGTGAACGCACCAGCACTGGGGTATTCCCAGTCCATATCCATTCCATCAAAGCCGTAGGTCATCATGAACTTAATCAGGCTATCAATAAAAGTTTTCCCATTGGCGGAGCTGCTAGCCATATCACTAAAAGCCATCTGATATGGATCAGCTAGATGCAGTGTTGCCCGAGTAGTACTCGCCGTGAGTAGTACTCGGTGAGTCCCCGAGTACTACTGTACTCGGGTGATATTTTTGAGTGCTCGGGACTCGCCGAGTACTACTCTGAATACTCCGAATACTGCCAAGCCCTTGGCAATGAGGGGTAACTGGGCGTAGAATAGAATAGATAATTGAAGCTTTCTTCCACTTGAGCGTTCCGTATTACCTCCTGACTGTGAAAATGAGTGGCTCTTCTCTGTCGCCAGTGCCGGCTGAGTATTAGTCTCTGATGCTTTAGAGCTGCCGCCCCTTATTCCGATGCCGCATATTCCTCTAAGAGTTCAATTACCAGATTCTACATCAATCCTCTTTCGAAAGGGCTATTCTACCGTACTTTATTAGATACAATACCTGCTAGAATCCAATACCAATGCCTTCAAACTGATTGTAGCTATATGCCCAGCCAGGTACTAAAGAGCCAGACGACGAGTAATCTTTGGAAGCATCTTAAGAAGATGCTGCAGAATACGAGAAGCTATCCTCCTCAATTATTAGAAGCTCGTTAACGCCGTCTGCTTCTGCTTCTGCTTCTGCTTTTTTCCACCCCCGCCAAGCACCCAGTAACGCACCAAGCTCGTTGAAATATAGAGAGCTTGTACTCTCTTTTGTGGTATCAAATAAGCTACCGCTACGCCTTGTGGAAAGCTACTCATTCGGGCAATTAGTTCATCATCTAAACCCTACGGTTTTGACAGTTAGTAGAACTACGATCGGACAGGATCTATATCGTCTATTCTGCTATCATAAAGCACGGCTTCAAGTAGAATTACAACAACATATTATAAGCGGTGGACGACTTGCAATAACGACAGATACTTGGTCCGCTCGAAACTATTCTGAGTACGCAGCAGTTACAGTACACTGGATAAATGATAATTGGCAAATGAGAAATACTATACTTGACGTTATACACCTTCAGGAGCCAATCCACTCTGGCGAATACCTTGCCGAACAGATGATACATGTAATGGACGATTATAGTATTACGCCTGCGATCTTTACAGTTACAAGAGATAATGCATCTACAAATACAACTATGCTATTAGAATATGAGAAACTGGCATTGGCGCAACCTATTACCCTGAAACAACCATGGGCTTTTACAGCGAAAGCAGGAGACGTATGCTGTATTGGGCATATTATCAACATTGCTGTTCAAGCTACTTTAGCTTCCTTAAAGGCAATGCCTGACGAAAGGGTAGAGGCATACCGGCTTGAGGTTGGGGCTGCGCGAATACCAACTACTATTGAAAACGAAATCGTGACTATTCTTGCCAAGTCCGGCGTCATATATATGTATTTCAGAACTGCCGTGGATGGAAAGATGCCTTGAAGAATCAGTGTAAAGCTGCAGGTATTAAAGTCCATCAGTTGACACTTGATATGCCAGTCCGCTGGAGCTCAACTTATCAAATGATCGATATGGCTTTAAAGCTTCAGGTTCCGATTACAGCTTTATGCGCATCACAGCAACTTGATATTAGTATGAGGGATATCGCTTTAACAGCAATAGATTGGGCTACGTTACATGACTTATTAAAGCTATTCTATCTTTATCTGCCCAACTGAGAAGCTACAGGGCTCTTCTTATCCAACTCTTAACTATGCTGTTCCGCAGTATATGAGAATGATCAAGAAGCTTAAAGATATGAGAAGTGAGCTACCAGAATAAAGCCCAATTGCTAATGCTACTTTGATTGCAAACAAAAGACTGAATCAAACCCTTGAACAATACCTACGGAGTTATGTCAACCACCAACAAGACAATTGGGTTCAGATCTTACCCATCGCACAGTTCGCATATAACAGCGCAATGACTGAAGCAACAAAATTCTCACCGTTCTTTGCCAATTACAGCTATTAGCCAGAGGCATATAGACAACTACGACCAGATGAATCAAGAGCAGAACAAGCTATGATTGCTGTGGAACAACTCAAATCATTCCATGAACAACTTGCGGCAGACATCCAATTCTTAAATGAACGATCTGCTGTGTATGCAAACAAGAAGCATAGTATGGAACCTGCCTTCAAGGAGGGGGATAAAGTATATCTACTCCGGAAACACATCAAAATGAAATGACCAAGTACAAAGTTGGACTTTAAGAAATTGGGACCATTCAAAACATTAAACAAAGTCAGCTTAGTTAATTACAGACTGCAGCTACTGAAGAAGTCTAGACTACACCTGGTATTTCATGTCTCACTACTAGAACTAGCAAGAGGAAACACCCCGATTACGACTGACACAGAACTCCAACTAGAAAATGAGATCACTGAATACGAAGTTGAAGCGATCCTAGACAGAAGGTTAATAGGACGCACGGAAGAGTTTTTGATAAAATGGAAAGATTATAGAGCGGCTGAATATATCAGCAAGTGATACCCACCACCCTAGAAATGCAAGCTAGGCACATATAACGCAAAGAGCCATCCATGGCACTAGTGTACTCTACCACTCCATGGCACGTTATGGAGCTGAAAGAGTATAGTAAGTTGCTGGATCTCACTCATCAAGAACCTATTTACATAGTTAATTAGTTATTATAAATGAAAAGGGGCAAAGAAGAGGAGTGCTTACCGTAGTAGTTGCCGTGCTTAGACATCGTCTAAGCTCTCAAATGAGATGTGCTAGCATTGCTAAATATGACAGCGATGATGATACTAATGACGGCGAGCTTATATTTGGTGCTCTTCTTCTTCGTCCTCTACTATACTTACAAGGATGACAAGAAGACCCAACAATGATATCATCCTCATTCTCTCTCTAGCTTCAGCCTCGGCTTGGCTCTAGCTTCCTAGCATTATAATTATCACTTTTATAGGCAGAATTACAGGCGGATCACCATATGTAAAATTTATCCCTACGACATTGCTCGACATTCGTCGACTTCCTAGCACTAGTGTTCCAAGTAGTCTACTAGACTGCCGTCTGTCCACCTATAATTCCATCTGTATTACGACTAGTCTGTATTGCTTGGCAGTCCGTCTAGGCTTTCCTCAATTATAGAGTCAGTCTGTAGGACTAAGTGAGATTACAGCCATAATTCAGTCTGTATTGCTCAATCAGGTAATAGCAAGGCTGATCTTAATGAGAAATTTGCAATACTACGTAATACTACAAAACCAGTTCTCTACAACTATGAATGCCCTTAATTCTATGATATCAATTAACTTAATATGGCATTGCAAGTGGATTCTAAACTGGCAGAGTCTAATGTGAGGATCTATTGACTTAGACTTTGAATTATCTAGTCAGAAGGCCAAGGGACAGACATCGTTAGTCTAGAACCATTGTCCCTTTCCTCCTGACGCTATTTACCTCAATAGTAAGGGTAAGTTGGTCTGGTAATGTAAATATTCTAAGGCTGTCCTTACTAAAAAGGGAGGTACGGCTCATATGTTCAACCACCTTCGAGATAAGCATGAAATCAACCTAAAGACATCACACAAGGCTAGAACTAAGAGATATCAACAAGGCATTAAGGACTCCTTCTAGAATGTTAAGAATCAAAACCTAGACTATAAGTGGAGCCGGCTTGACAATACAATTGATACTAAAACTTTAGATCTAGACGTGCTTGAGGATTTGTACATTAAATGGATCACAGCCTGTGGGGTGTCATTTAATATAGTAGGCCGCCTAGAGTTTCGTGTGTAACTTATCACTTTATTATTCACCTAGTTGCTTCTATTAGTAACTGACAAAAGCTATAAGTTTTACGTGCTATCTCAACTGTGAGGTCGATGCCTGGCTTCCTACAACAAGTGATACTATCTAGATGTGGATCAAACCATAAGTCAGACTGTTGCACATTATATTTCAAAAGAAGGACAGCTAAAACATAACGTCCTTGCTTTACGAGAGTTAGAGGGCGATCACTCTGGGGAAAATCAGTCTCAAGTAGTTATTGATGTCATTTCAGACTTTCAAATAGCTACGAATCTTGGCTTTTTTGTTGGTGATAATGATAGCTGGAATGATACTTTATGTTAGGCTCTTTCACAATGTATGTTCTCTTCCTATTTAATGAAACAAATACTAAAAAATAATATAAGTCTAGAGGAAGAATACATAATTAAATGGAACCTAGTTACCTAGCGTCTTCGTTGCAACGGCCACATCATCAATCTCTCTGCCTAATCGTTCCTATTTCCAGATCTTACTTAAGAAGACAATGACGAGGATGTGTTAATAGATAACATCAACAGTCAGATCCCTAAAGACTTTACAGAACATAAGGTGCGAGAGTGGAGAAAAAAGGGACCCCTTGGAAAGATCCATAACATTATCATCTTTATACAACGAAGTTCACAATGAACAGAGAGTTTTAAAGTCCTTGCTGAATCTAACGGGCTTGGACTAATCCGGGATAATGTAACACGGTGGAATTCGTGGTTCCGGATGCTAGCTAGAGCTTTGAAATCGATCGAGGCCATCTAGATCTATTGCTTTAAGAATAGGGACTTATTGCAAGACGATACGTTATCACCAAGCGAATGGGAGGATCTTAAGAAGTTGATCTACTTCCTTCAGGCCTTCTCAGATGCAACACAAGCTAGTGAAGGACGATATGCCACTGTTATAATTACGGACGGACTGGACTACTCGGAACACTGCCTAGCACGACACTTAGCATATTTCTTTGTCAAAGTGCTGTGAGCTGAAGCACCCTTTGCGGGAGTATATATCTAAGAAGACTAAGCGCTGAAACTTGATTCATCGCTGAAGGTGCTCAACATACCGATGGTTCTTTCCAAAGCATTGTTGTCAGAATCAACTGAGAAAATCTCATTCTCCTTTGCTCTAAAGACTTCAGGTACCTCCTGCCCAATGTATCCAGCCCGACCGAAGTCGATGACAGTAATGAACCCTTCCTGATTCAGCATTAGATTGCTTGGAGAGATGTCATGGTGCACAACACCACCTCGATGCACTTCTTCGATTGCCTTTTCAATCTCGTGTATATACTCCGCTGCATTGCCCAAATCAATGTCGACGAGTCTCTCCATTCTGAATCCAAAGATGCCTTGTTCATCGACTAATGGCTCTCGATGTGTACGAACAACAGGAACTTCGTTTGACGATAAATGCCGGATAATTGCGAACTCCTCCCGAAGTAAGCGTCTTTGACGATCATTAATCGCGACTTTGCAGATTGGGAATCCGTCTGTGCAAGAATCCAAAGCCCTTATATGGGAATCCGCTCCATATTTCAAGAGTCGAGACGTTGTCCATAACTTATGAACATTTGAGCTATGCGGTATTAGAGAAACAGAAGCGTCGTCCACACGTGGAAACCGTGTCAAATCTGGTAGCTTCTTCCAGTCACCGTCCCAGCGTAGAAGATATTCATTGCCCTTGAAGTCAACATTGACAGTGCAAGACTTGTCGATGGGATATGGAAACGTGATCGGCTGGGCAGACATCCTGCAAATTACCCATTAGCAACCGTTTGCAAACCATTCGGAATCTTACGCTGGATTATGGAGTACTTCAGGGACGGCTGTAGATGAAATGCCGAGTTCGCGCTACCCGTTACTAGATAGAATGTCAACGGTAAAGACCCGCTCTCATATTTCATTTCATTTCATTTCACTTCACTTAATTCCTTTTTGTTTTCAATTTCACTCATTTCATTTCATGTTTGTTTCAAGTGCAGAGTGAGCCACACCACGTAGGCTCTGTTTTTTCATTTTTCTACAACCTTGTGACCGGCTTGCATGCAAACAGCTGTCTATAAAGACCAGCTCTTCTGGCAAGATGCTCATCATTATTCACAGCCTGCGAAAATACGAACACCACGAACACCATAAGCTCTGTTAACAGCCAGTATCCCTATTTACGCCTTCGGCATCTTTCTACGAACCATGTACTTCAAAAATCATTTGTTGTTTGGATGTGGGCATATCCTGCTCTAATACCATATTTCGCAACTGTGTTTCGTACAAGGGAAAACCACTCTTGAATTATCTTAGGATCTTCACATTTTGCTCGTTTGTAATCGTACTTCTGCTAAAACCTTGCTTTAATTTCCGTACGACGTTAATAGAGCTAGTAGTCTAGTTCTTCCTAACAGGGCTCTCGCCTCGTTCGGAGAGTAGTAGTAGGTCTGCCATTTCTTGCACAGCTTACGGCTAGGGCGAAAATCCACGCAAATCTAGGTCGAGGATGTACTAAACAAGAGCTGACTCTTCGTAGGGAGTCAATTTTCTTGAGTTAGGGGTAGAGTCACGTCGGGAAGCTACTCCATTCATTCATTCGCTCTTGTAAGGTTGAATAAGGGATATGGTACGACATTGCGCCTGCTCAAATACTTTGAATATGCCCTTCCTTAATTGATTGGATAGCTAGAAGTATTCTACCCTCCTGATTAGAGGATTTAGCTTGTGTTAGGCGCAGCATGTTGACTTTTGGTAAGTTGACGCGTTATTAGTGTTTTGGTGACCGGTTCGCTCGTGAAATACGTTAGAAGACATGAGTATTCTGATCTCCCCCTCAGTGAGTAGAAACCTCACTATTCTGCCTCATTCTTCTTATATACCCCTTGTCGGCAGTATCTCTTTGTGTCATCTCACCACCATTAATCTCCCTCAAATATTCCTCTAGGTGGACTGACTCCGCAATCAATCGGTCAGCTCCTTCGTACAGCTTCTCTACTTCGACATCTAAATCCTTCGCCACATCGAGGAGCTTCAGCGTTGACTTTTCGTCTTGTTCTTGATCAGCCCTTATTCTTGTTTCCTCTGCTTCCTTGTGCATGGCACGCGCATCTGCCAAGATGCGCTCTGCCTCCCTTCCCAAGTGCTCACGCTTTTCCTGAACCTTTATGACTTCCCCTGGAGACCTCGGCGTGTCGTGCGACAATGGATTGAAGCCTACACCTGGGAATCTGCCTGGCATTTGCATGCCAGGAGGGCCCTTTGGAAACCCTGGAATAGAAGGTATATTGTGCATGCCAGATGGGCCATTTGGAAGCCCTGGAATAGAAGGCATGTTGCGCATGCCAGGAGGCCCATTTGGAAATCCTGGAATGGAACCGCCGTTCTGTATGAACCCTATTTCGAGAGGTGCATACCCATCATACTCCGTCGCAGTCGCCTTATCCTTGCCCTTCCCCCGGCTCCTTCTCGCCGCCCTCTCCTCCCTTCTCCTCTGCTTTGCTTGGGATCTAAGCTCTTTTCGCTGTTTCCTCCTTTCTTTCCTTATTGACTTCCTCCTCATTGCCCTGCTCTTCTTCAGCTCCTCGAACGCCTTTGTCAATGCCCTGAGCTCTGCTTTTAGTTCGGTAAGCTCCTGCCCTTCCGGTTTCCTTGCATGTTTAGCCAATTTAATGTCTCCCTTGAGAGTTTTGACGCTTTCCTTGCTAACTGGTTGCTCGGGATGGTTGAGCCATTCCATCAGACTCTGTTTGACGACATGCAGCTGATTTGGTTTTAAATCACTAACATCAGGTAAGCCTCCCTCCGAGTCTTCGGTTCCCACCGTATCATCGCTAGATGAACTGTGCGAGCTGATTGACCTCGATCTATCACGACCATTCTTATGCCCTCCATCCTTCATGTTTCGCCCTCGCTCAGTGTATGGGTTTGGTGGCGCTGGACTAGAGCTATTGGTATTTCCAAAAGTCATACCCCCAAGTTTGAACCCGTCATTATTGGCGACAAGCATATTCCCGATGCGAAATCCGGATTTATCTGCAACCATAGCTCCAAGTCGGAAGCCTTCATTCCCTGCGGACATCACTCTCCCAACATGAAAGCCGGAGGCATCTGCACATACGAAACCGCCACGGCGGCCAAAACCCCTAAACCCGCCCCGTAGGGTGGCTCCACATCCACCTCTGTCAAATCCATCACGTCCTCGCCGGCCACGTCCGTGTCCGTCTCCGAATCCGTGTCTGCCTCTCCGTCCCGGTCCCTGAGGGCCCCAACCCCATCCCCTCTGTTCTCGTTCCCCGCCCACACTATCACGATCCGAGGCCGTTTCCGAACCTGCAGTCTGCCATCCCGGCCTGGAGGGCATCGACCTCGTAGCCGGTTGCTCTGTGGTAGTCCTTGGCGGAAGAGCCGGCGGATCCGGTTCGCTCACATTAGCTAAAACGCGGACCCCTCTAGGTCCAAAAAATCCAGTATTCCACTCCAAGACCACAGCTGCGATATCATCTTCCGGAGGTCCTGATAGATCGACTTTGGAGGGCTGGAGGCTATTTAGCTGTGCATCAACTGCAGATAAGTCCGATTCGCCTTCTGGCGAAATAGTAAGCCCATGCATACGTCTATCGAGAACTTCTGCCTTCATTTTCTCGTTCGCCACGAGCCCATTTGACTGATCGATATGGTGGGGGATGGCATAGTTTATAAATGTCGCCCAATCCTGAGTTGTAATATCTAAATCTGCGAATTCGGGGATATAAGGCAAGTCGTCTGGTGTGCTCGCGGGCCCTACGACGATCTCATAGGAAATGGGACGTCTGGGAACCCTCCGTGGGGGCGGGCGGCTTTCAAAGTATAGGCGGGCGGCTGACGCATAAGAGTCGTTATTCACAGACTCGGCTGGAGTATAAATGACTGAGTTGTTAGTCGAAGCTTGAGAGGCATCATCGGTTTGAGTGGTCGAGCGGCTTAGGTCAGGAGGAGCGCTCAAAGGCGAGCGGACGGAGCTCGAATAAATGTCCGTTTCACTGTAGGGAGGAGGGGGTACGTTGTCCATGGCTGGAAGTGTACCAAAGCACTGCTTATGTGGTAGTAAATAGGTGATAGATAAGCTGACAATAGGTGTCGAGGCAAGAAGAAAGGACCAACTGCTGCGTCGATGTCGACTGACGGTTCAAGATTTAGAGCATCACCAAAGGATCACGGCAGCGAAGAATCCAAAGTCTTGCACGTTGTCGCATTACTTCAGAGCTGAATTATCTATTTGAGCGGGGAAAGTCCTTTGCCGCTCCTGGATGTCACAGGGATGTGCAAGGCTGAGCCAACGCGGCCCTACCTAGCTACCCAACCATAGCTTAGTGACAGATGTCAAGAAGCGGCGCTATTCTGGCTTACGCGTTTCCCACGGGATATGCAACCTAAACAGAGACTGGCGAACAAGTTAATTGTCGTGCGGCAGAAACAAGCCTTACGAAGCGCATATCTATCCTGAAGAGATGACGGCGAGGCCGCGTGTCGCCGATCGCTGAAATGTTTTGACAGCTCGTTTTTGGTCGTTTTCAGTCCCTCAAAATCGAACTTGCGGGTTGTGGAAGTTTGTATCCTCGGGCTTATAATGATCCGCCACGATTCTGTAGAGATATGATGGTGCGTGTGCCCCACTATAGAATGTTAATACGGGGGAATTTATGTTGAGACTTCGACAACAAAATGGTTGAACTTACAGGTTGGTGATGTAAAGGTCAACAAGCTCCGGAGGGACATAATCAAAGAGTGGGTTCTCGACGTCCATCTTCTCCACAAAGCCACCGTCCTCGTAGGTGATAATCTTCGACGGGTCGCCATATTCGATCAGTGATTCGAACTCATAAGGATACTGGGGGCTAAGCTTATAAACACCAGATACCACAATGACGGGTGTCCTGTGCTTGTTGGCGGCTTTGGCGATAATGCGAGCTCCAGATGCCGCAACTAAACCGCCGTTGGCAATAACTGCATGTGTCGCCAGAATCACCTTGTTCACTCGCGACATGATCGCGAAGACGGACGAATCTGTGATCAGGACCACGGTAAGGCCTGCTGCTGTTAATGACTTTTGGAACTGCTCGAGGCCCAGTTCATCCTCCTCGTCGTCATGTGGAGTTAGCACACCCATAGCAGCACTATGCGTCTGCTCATGATCATTAGGATATGATTCTGCAACGATAACCGTAAACTTGCGCTTTGCTGCCGCTTTGAGAAGAAACTGGTGTACCGTCTGTGACGATGTATGTGTGAGGATAATCTCGTTGGAGTGGATGTACTCGTGGGCATAACTCGCAATTCGCTCGTCGGATTGGAGAAGTTCGTCGATGATCTCGTTGATGCCGTCACAAATCTCCGATTTTAGGTCCCGAGTGCTAGTTGCAATCCTCCTTGAAAGCGCTGCTGCATCGACGCCTTTGTCGTTCGGTGGTGGCACTCCTGGGGGTGTAGGGTCCTCGAACGGAGTAGCTGAGAGGAGGCTGAACATCGACTGGACAGCAGGGACTCCGCCCGCTACTGCGTATGATGTATGGGAAGTCATGAGAGACGGCCTCGCGTGCTGGTCAAACGGGTTTCTTGCTGGCGCTGAGTCGGCAGTAGATGGTCGCGGGTGGCTCAATGCTGGGGGGGCGTGCATTCGATTTGGCGTCACAGAACCAGCATCGCTGCTGACGTCTTCATTTCTCTCTTCCAGAATTTCATCCCTGATCAGACCCAATACACGTCGGACAATGTTGCCCACCACCATCTCTCTTGGCTGGGCTTCCATGAGCCTTTGTCCCACATCCTGTATGCGTCGAATAAGATCCTCTGCATCTCTCCATTTCAAGCTTGATACGACTCGGCGCAATAGTTTTGCCGTCGCGACGGCACATGGCCTCGAGTTCCTAATTTGTCTTTGTTTGAGGAGTCTGAGGGTGAATCAGTATGTGTTCGCAACGCGACAAAAGTTTGCGAGGCCAACTAACGAGACGAGCAGCTCAATGCATGATTCCACAGGATGATACTCCTTGTCCTTGAGATATGCTAGAAATGTTGACAGGGTTGGCGTGTAGCCAGCTTGAGAAGGCGCCATTGTCGCGCGGGGGCGGGGGGTTGGCTTCGTTCGTTTTATGAGGCTATTGAAATGTGCGACTCTTTCGCTTTTGAAGTTGAGTTTGTGGGCAGTGAATTGCAACTAGGTAGATCTTAAATGCGTATTTCTCTATGCCGTGACAGTATGCGTGGAGGTCGAAGAAAATAAAAGGCGCAAGTTATAAGGCTATTATTTGCAGTTAAGTGAGGCTGGAAGTTGCTCATCGCTCCAATGTTCGGAAAATGTTCCGGGGACGACGGTACAAGGGTTCCGGCGAAGCTCGGGCCGTGGATGCCAACTCCAACCCAACCACCGTCATCAACAGTACGAAGAAGTTCAACAACTCAACGCGAAAGGGACTTGTTTCGTGGCCGTCAAATCCGCGGATTTATAGGTAAGAGCAATATTGTACTTTCTGTCGCCTTTGTTTGCCGTTCGCATCCAGCGTTGCTGCAGCAAAAGCAGACGGGACCATTGTAAGATTACGACAACTGCGACAGTCGCATTCGACAACCTGCTACAATAGAGTAGTCGCAAGAAGAAAGGTATCCCCTACGACACAAGGCTGCCTGCAAAACGGAAACGTGGTCTTTCACTTCCATAGACATCTTCTACCAGCGCCTCGCTGCCTCAAACGCGACACCCTTTGACTCGCCAACGCCACCTCTCATTTATGGCTTGGATACGAAGATGAACTCCCTCAACATCCTATCGGCGCGGGTTTCGCCGCCGCCTCCGCGAAGCAACTCTTATGGCAGCTCCCTAAGCCTAGCCGGAAACGCGCCAATACAACCAAGAAGTCTTGCCGAGGATGCGGTAGACGAACACCAGGAAGAGGATGGCGCGGCAGAGGCAGGGGAAGAAACCTCCACGGAGGCAGGACACGCCGGCATGGATGAGAAGGCCCCAATGCTAGAAGATGGGAAGGCGGATATACAGTCGAGGCCGAGGGGCTTTGTCTTCTTCTCGAAACGAATAGCGGCCGCGTTTGTGAACTCTATACGATGGGTGGTATCGGCGATAATAGCGCCGGGATTTTATATAATAGCATGTTTGTACGATCACGACGGAAACTTCGCGCCCCTATTCCAAGTGCGGAGGATTGGAGGGTACTTTTGGAGAGGAGAGATGAGCCCCGAAGGCTTGAGCAGCGAACGCAGCGCGCTCCTTGAGAAGCACGCAGCCTCAAGCAGACGGCCCTCCACAAGGCCTCAAAAGAACGCCTCGCTATCCTCCCAGCTCTCCTCCGAATCCGAATCCGAGCGCGACTTGGACTCCCGCCCAACCAGCTCAGCTGGCAGACACACCCGCTCCAGATCTCTCAAGCCGAGCGACGAGACGACACCCGCGCGCCGCTCTATCCGCATCAAGCTTCACAACGAAGACGCGCGGCAAAACCGCAGGCATCGCAAATCGCAGTCTACAAACTCGCCCATGACACAGTCTGACGGCGCCGGTGGCGCTAGCCCTGCTCTTACTGAAATCACACCCGCTACGCTCAAGTCCCCTACCTCGCCGCCGGCGACGCTCTCGATGGCCAAGTACCCGCGCGCGCCTACGCCGCCGCGGCCGCTGATCCCGAAGAGGCAGCCCAGCTATACGATGGCTGAGCCGATTAACGGGCGTGCGGGGCAGAAGACACTGATTCTTGATCTCGACGAGACGCTGATCCACTCCATGGCCAAAGGCGGACGCATGTCCACCGGGCACATGGTGGAGGTGAAGCTCAATACATTCGTCGCCGCCTCCGGGGTCCCAATTGCCGGGCCCCAACACCCTATCCTGTATTACGTGCACAAGCGACCTCACTGCGACGACTTCCTGCGGCGCGTGTGCAAGTGGTATAACTTAGTGATTTTCACGGCGTCGGTGCAGGAGTATGCGGACCCTGTGATTGACTGGCTAGAGCAAGAACGCAAGTTCTTTAGCGGGAGGCTGTATAGGCAGCATTGCACGTTTAGACATGGGGCGTTTATCAAGGATCTGAGCAGTGTGGAGCCGGACTTGAGTCGGGTTATGATTTTGGATAATAGCCCGTTGAGTTACATGTTTCACCAAGGTATGTTGTCTGTGTGGTGGTGTTGGGGGCAGAGCTGACTGGGTTATAGACAATGCTATCCCGATAGAAGGCTGGATTAACGATCCGACGGATAATGATCTGCTGCACTTGGTACCGCTGCTTGAAGGGCTACAGCATGTCACGGATGTGAGAGCGCTGCTTGCCTTGCGAGGTGGGGAGGATGGGAAGCACATGGTGACCTGAATAATGAAAGTTGTTCCCTGTTAGCATCAAACACAAGTCCATGTGCAAAACAAAACAGCCAGTCCTCTTCCGGTTCTTGCTCGTCTTGTATAGCCTACGATCAAATGAATTCATATATACCCTCAACCAGTTCCAAACCTCATCCCCCCATTCGCCGACACAACCTGCCCCGTAACCCACCCCGCATCCTTCGTACACTACATCCCCACCACCCCCGCAATCTCCCACATATACGCTGGTCTTCCCCCCGCCATCTCCGCCCCCTCCACCAACTCCCTATCATCCACCTCCGGCCTAATCTTCTCCAACGGCGCCCCCTGAATAAACGGTCTAACCCCCTTCATAAACTCCTCCGAATTCCCAAACCACATGCTCGTCGCCACAGGACCCGGGTTACTCGAATTTACAGTCTCGTTCTCGGACAGCTCGCGCGCCCACGTCCGCGTCATGGCGTCCAACGCCGCTTTCGTGCCGCCGTAGATGGATTGCCCGATGAATCCCGCCTGGGCGGAGATGCTGCTGATGTTGACGATGCGGCCGGAGCGGGAGGTGGGGAGGTGGGGTTGTGCGGCTTGCATGGGGAGGAGGGGACCGCGCACGTTGACGTGGTAGCCGCTGTCGAAGTCGGCGGGTTGGATGGCGGGGAGGAAGTCGTTGACTGCTACGCGGCGTTGTTGATGATGATGTCGAGGACGGAGGTGTGGCCTGCGGTTTCGTGGGCGGCTTTGGCGGCGGCGATGAGGGAGGAGGGGCCGGTGAGGGTGCCCATGTCGGCTTGGATTATGTAGCTAGGGACGCTATGGGCGGAGAGGATTTGGCGGAGAGTTCTTCGGTGCTGGCTTTGGTAGGATTAGAGTTGCGCGTTTGGAGGCGAGGTTCTCGGCGATGGCGGCAATGCCTGGGAGGGTTTAGTATGGTAATGAGGCTTCATGGGGATTATCATACCTCTAGAAGCTCCAGTCACAAGAGCCAGCTTTCCCTCCAAAGCTCTAACCCCCCAAATTCCGGAGCAGATCTACGAAGAAGTCACCATCGTGGTGGTCGGTATCCCAATCCCCCACAGGACGGCACCATCCCACCACCCCCACCAAGAAAATGACGCTACCAACCGGCGGGCACCACCGCCGAAGCACGGACGGACATATACATTATCCGGCCCTCGAAAATCGCAACAACAGCTCTCACCACCGACCTCACCTCACCTCACTCACCTCCAGCAGCTGTTTCCAATCCCACGAATCCACCACCCACCCACCACCCTTTCCAAAAAATCCGGGAACCCCCCCAATCCGCAACCATGGACATCCGCCTCCTCCACGCCTCGGACATCCCGCACGTGCAACACGCCAACATTACCAACCTGCCCGAAAACTACTTCATGAAATACTACCTCTACCACGCGCTCTCCTGGCCCCAACTCTCCTTCGTCGCCGTAGACGTCGCGCGTCCGCCTAAGTCTCCCTATGACCCCCCGAGAATTGTGGGTTACGTGTTGGCGAAGATGGAGGAGGAGCCAGCGGATGGGGTGGCGCATGGGCATATTACGAGTCTCAGTGTGATGAGGACGCATCGGAGGTTGGGGATTGCGGAGAAATTGATGAGGCAGGCTCGTGAGTGTTCCCTTCACCGTTGTAACTTTTAGGACTTGTTGTGGAGATAGATGGATGTCAGTGGCTAACGACAAGCAGAAAAAGCAATGGTAGAAACCTTCCAATCCCAATACGTCTCCCTCCACGTCCGCATCTCCAACAACGCTGCCCTCCGCCTCTATCGCGACACCCTCGGCTTCCGCAATGACAAGATCGAAGCAAAATACTACGCCGACGGCGAGGACGCTTATAGCATGAAGCTCGACCTTGCTGGTGTGCGTGAGGAGCTGCGTGAGGCGGAGGGGGGGGGTGAGGATGAGGGAGAGGCGGTGGGGGATGAGGGGAAGCAGGCGGACGGGGAGATGAAGGGGAAGGAGCGGGGGGGGAAGGGGGAGGTATTGAGGAAGGTTAGGGTGGGGAGGGGGTTGGGGGTGGGGGAGTTGGTGGAGAGGGATGAGAGTGTGAAGGCTTAGAGAGGGGGGGTAAAATAAAGGGGGCGGGGTGGGGTGGGTTAAGAAAGAATGGAAAATGTTAAATGGATGGCGAATGGCTTGCTACAGGTCGGGGATGAGTACGTTATGTATCCGTACTACTGCTTGTACAGTACAAAAATATAGGTCCGGCCATCGTGTCGAGTATGGCTGGGAACACCTACGGAAGCTTCGCCAACAGGCTAGTGACTCGAGGACAAGATGAGATGAGTCCCATACATACACCTTACGACGCAGCTAACCGCGACGCCCAAGTCTTCGAGGGGACTATACTGCGCATATCTTCGAATTGATATCGTAAGGCTACCAGACCCCGCTCTAGCCCCCAGAACCTATCAGAACGAGACAGTGCCAGTCCAGGAGTAGATCATGATCACGTGCTTTAAGGGGGTGCGGGTCGCAGGACGGCGATGGTGCTGTTGAGAAACGTGGTAACGCTGCTGAAGAGTACACGCCAACAAAACGGCCTGACGATTATCTCCTGTGTAGGCATGTTCTACTCGTACTTTGGATTAATAAATGTATGTAGAGTGATGATCGTCGCTATCCCTGTAGTAGAGTAGTCCAATAAAAACCCGAGTAATGTTATGTACAGTCAATGACCGCCTTGGCGATATTTACTAGCCCAAGTGCAGGTATCGGGAACGTGGTCATATCGCCAAGACGGTTTTATGGATCAGATTACTTAAGCCAGCTATCTAGGGTTGTTTGCTGTGTAGATGACACTGCCAGTCTCCTGAAAAGCCTCAAAGTTCCCTCTAAGCTTCTCATACGCTCAGGAGTCGTGGCTTCGCATGTTTCCATGAATTCTAAAGCTAATTCCATGCCCTTAATCGCAGTCTGAATAGAAGGAGTGGCTTATAGGTGCTTCACCATATGCTTCCTGATCTTCTTCAGTAGCAGCTGTCTCTGAGATTTCAGTAATTAAATGCTGCAATAATCCATCGCCCGAAGAAAAACTATCCATAATTTCAGGCTCTGTCTCATCAGCAGGATTCAGGAAGCTCTGTATGTCCATTAAGTCCTGGATTCTGCCTGAATTTTCCACTGTCTTATAAGTGGCATCTAAGTCAGGAGGCATAAGCTGTGTGTAAGGATGCCTGTCCCTCAGTGATGGAAAGGATCCGAGTCGGGCAGGTTACAGTCACATGATGAGGGTGAAGGCAGGTTAGCCGAGTCGGACCTGTTTCGGGTACTTAAGGAGATTGACCCAACGGGGGTTCCTCTCTTCATCTTTTTTGTATCCTTCGTAGTAGACCTATAGGATAGCATCCGTTTAGCCTCCGACTCGCACTCTCATATGCTATTACTGTGAGCTGGGTGCCCTGTGTCCTTACACTGTGTAGGAAGCTGAATTGGACTCTTAACAACAGTGCTTTTCCTAAAGCAGTTGTAGACTGTGGCTGAAGAAACATCATGGTTCCAGCTTTCCAAAGCCCACCTAATCTCAAAGAGTTATAATAATTTTTAAAAGACTGAATAATCCCCTGGTCTAGTGGTTGGAATCGACTTGTTGAATTTGGAGGTAAGAAGACCACTCGGATATTAGGGGGAGGAGGCTTCACTTCAAGAGCCGTATAATGGGCTGAAAAGTTATCCATGGTAAGAAGGATTCTCCTAGAGAATCCTACATGCCTGTAGAAGGCTTCCAACCATAGTGCCATAATGTCTGTTGTCATCCAGGCCTTCTTATTCCATCTCCAATGAGCTCCCATTGCATCCACACTAACATTGCGAAGGCATCTTGGTGTCTTGGCTTTGCCGATTAACCAGAGGGGAAACTTGACAGTACCTGATGCATTGCAGCAAAAGACAATGCTAATTTGATCCTTATTCTTCTTAAAGCCTGACTGTCTTGCTGATGACAGTCCTGTCATACTGACATTCGTTGCACTCAGTTTGCTATCAAACTCAAGAGCAAACTTAGAAATCTCCTCCTCAAACCTACAAGTCAACATACATATCTTGGCTTATCACATCAACAACAGAAGCAATACTACTCAACGATTGCTGCAAACTCTTCTACTACATCTGTTTATGCTACATACATCACGGCATATCATTTGGACACTCATTGAACAAGTTATTAAGAAAATCTCCTCCTTAAGGGGGTGGGCCAATACTACCACATGGCATATCTCTACCAACTAGAGGCCTAGGAACATGAACGATAGCTCTAGAAGCTTCTACAACCCTCTATGATTCATTACATGTCATCGCTCCTTAGTTACCCACAAGATTGGTTAAGTTATGACATAATTTGTCTATAGGGGTACTCTGACCTTGGACCTCCTTTCACTTCGTATAGGCTAGAAACCCAAGAGATGGTTCTATGGGATTCTCTTACGTTCACTACATGATTAGCAAGCTAGTTGTGGGTCGCACTTGATTTCTAATACAGTTACCAAGCCTGGTTAGTCATGGAAAGTCATGGAAAATGAGAGAACTACACTCCTTTGGCATAAATAGGATTGCCCTTTCCTTAAGAAAGGGCAAGCAGGCAATACAGTAAATCGACTAGCACATACTTCTACGTCTTTTCCAAGCTTCCAAGCATTGATCTTGTTATTCTCTGTTTTTGAAAAGTCAGTGAGGTGCTAACCTCTGACTTACCCCTGAGTTCTCAGACTCAACATTTGTTGCAACTTGTCTAAACCACTTCACCACATCATACACCTGATTGCTGCGTTGTGGAATAGTCTAAGCTACAACCCTTTGGCTCTGTTTTCTAAGACAGTGTGTTGTCTTAGTAAATTCATCCCTTCCTTGGGTGGCTAGATTCTCATATCTGGTGCACCCACCATTACAAGTCCCTTAGAAGGTAGCTGTTACGATTATAGCTTACAGGTTGTTACGGTTGTTACGGTTGTTACGGTTGTTACGGGTGCAGCCTTAGCCACCAAGGCTACAACTGTTAAGCGGACAACTGTATATTACGAGGAATAGCCTCACCTTCCTTCCTTCTTCTTCTTCTTCTCTCTTTAGATTCAATCTAGCTTATTATTTCTCCGGACTTGTCATACTGACATTCGTTGCACTCAGTTTGCTATCAAACTCAAGAGCAAACTTGGAAATCTCCTCCTCAAACCTACAAGTCACTATACATATTTTGGCTTATCACACCAACAACAAGAGCAATACTACTCAACGATTGCTACAACCATCTATGATTCATTACACGTCATCGCTCCTTAGTTACTGGGCCGATATTACCACATAGCATATCTCTACAACCCTCTATGATTCATTACATGACATCACTCATACTACCACATGACATATCTCTACCAACTAGAGGCCTAGGAGCATGAACGATAGCTCTAAAAGCTCCTACGAACCTCTATGATTCATTACATGTCATCGCTCTTTAGTTACCCACAAGATTGGTTAAGTTATGACATAATTTGTCTATGACATAATTTGTCTATGACATAATTTGTCTATAGGGGTACTCTGACCTTGGACCTCCTTTTACTTCCTATAGGCTACAAACCTAAGAGATGGTTCTATGGGATTCTCTTACGTCGGCTACAGTTACCAAGCCTGGTAAGTCATGGAAAGTCTTGGAAAATGAGACAACTACATTCCTTTAGCATAAATAGGATTGCCCTTTCCTTAAGAAAGGGCAAGCAGACAATACAGTAAATCGACTATCACATACTTCCATGTCTTTTCCAAGCTTCCAAGCATTCATCTTGTTACTCCTTGTTTCTGAAAAGTCAGTGAGGTGTTAACCTCTGACTTACCCCTGAGTTCCCAGACTCAACATTTGTTGCAACTTGTCTGAACCACTTCACTACATCACACACCTGATTGCTGCGTTGTGGAATAGTCTAAGCTACGACCCTTTGGCTCTTTTTCCTGTTGAGATCAGTGGTGTATCTGTATCTGCAGCGGCATAGTTATCACGTTGAGTTGAATAACAGTTCACTTGAATATATGTTTTGTATTGTTGTTCTGAGTGAAGCTATCTACGGAACTATTTGTGGGTGGTCCGCAACCCGATTCGGTTGGCGAGCCACACGCCTAACCAATCAGTCTGAGCAACCTCCTCCTTCAACACACCCCTTTGCATGACTGAATTGAGGCCATTCCCATTTCCTAGGCCGTGATCACCTTCATCTGAAGCTGCTGTATGAACTTCTCATGTTGTGTGGCGGGTAGCGGCTTGGTCAATCCATCTGCTACCATGTTGGCTGTTTCCACATACCAGAGGTCAATTGACCCATTTTCAATGTGCTCCCGAATGAAGTGGTGCTTGACATCGATATGCTTGGTTCTCTGGTGGAATTTGGGGTTTTCGGCCAAGCTCAATGAGCCTTGGTTGTCTCCATAGATCTTCGTAGCTTGAATGTCATTTCCTGTGTACATCATCTGCTTCATGATCTGTTGTAGCCATAGTGCTTCTGACACCACCTTTGCGAGTGCGTAGTACTCTGCTTCTGTGGTCGATTGTGCCACGGTCTGTTGTCGCTTTGAAGTGTGTGAAATCACACCTCCGGCGAAGAAGAAGGCATTTCCAAGGACCGATTTACGGTTTGCTTTATCGCTTGCATAGTCTGAGTCACAGTATCCATGGAGCTGCGTATCGCCTTGCATGCCATATTCGATTCCAAGCATCTTTGTGCCTTGTAAGTAGTGAAGCATTCGATCTGCTGCTTTCATGTGAGCTGGCGAAGGATTAGTGAGGAATCTGGACAGAACAGAGACTCCATATGAGATATCTGGTCGAGTCTGGACAGCGAGGTACATGAGCGATTCAATCTTCGATCCATAGAGTTCAATTTCTGCGTGTGAAGCCTTGCCTTTAAATGGGATCATGACTTCTGCAGCTCCTGTAGCCACAGGTGTGTCCACTGCCTTGCAATTCTCCATGCCATAGCGGTGCAGAATCTTTGTGATGTATGCATCTTGACAGAGGGAAATTGTTCCTGCCTCTCTGTTGCGTGTGATCTGTAATGGTGGGTGCACCAGATATGAGA